TTTCTCTAAAATTTAGAAGGTTGAGGGGTGATCTGATCAAAGTCTTTAAGATATTAACAGGAAAAGACAGGGTAGATAGAGATAAACTACTTCCACCAGTTGGGGATTCTAGAACTAAGGGCATAGTCTGAAAACTGGGGCCAGACTGTTCAGGAGAGCTGTTAGGAAGCACTTCTAAACACTTCGCGTCCATGGCAGTGGATGCTGGAAGAGTTGTTAAACTTAAATCCGAGATAGATAAATTATTGTTCAGCAAAGGTATTAGGGGATATGGGCTTAAGACAGCTACTTGGAATTAGGCCACAGATCAATATAATCTCATTGACCGGTGGAACAGGCATAAGGTACTGAATGGGTAACTCTTCTTCCAATGATACCGCCAAATCTGCTGCGTTTCTCTCATACTCCATGTTTTTATTTCAAACAAATGTGATTTCATTCATGTGATGAAAGATATCTGATATTTTTTATAACAAGGTGTAGAGCTGAATGAACACAGCAGGCCAAGCAGCATCAGAGGAGCATTTTTTTTCTGAAGAAGGGTCCAGACCCGAAACGTCAGCTTTCCTGCTCCTCTGATGCTGCTTGGCCTGCTGTGTTCATCCAGCTCTACACCTTGTTATCTCAGATTCTCCAGCATCAGCAGTTCCTACTATCTGATATTTTTTTATATCATTTTAGAACATGGGGATGGTTACTTTTGTTAAGGATTAAAAAGAAAGGTCAGACAATTCTTCCAAGCTGTGTGAGAGGAGAGAGATCCTGTGGAGTGTTAATGGAAAATTGCTTTTACTGTGTGTTGGTTATGACAGATGGAAAAAATTTTTTTTAGTTCGTTGTTGGTTCAGGGATTCATCTTAATTCAGAAAAACTAGAGACTGAAAGCTTTTAAGAAGTCCAGAGGAAACCTTACTGGGGTCAAAAGCAAATATAGTCTCTCTTCTTGAAAGGCAAAGGGAGAAAAGGACAGTTCAGGGAAAGCACAGTTAACTCGGTGTAAAAGATTAGTTTGTCATACTTCAAAACCAGGCATGCTTGGTTAGAAATCTACATCTAATTAAATGCTGAGAAAGTCTAAGCATGCTGCTTTACGAATATTCATGTATGAAGACTTCACAGTTCACAGTAAGGGAACTAGGAGGAATCAGTCAAGTCAGACTTACAGGTAGACAGACAGGAGGCTGGAAGAACACAGCAAGCCAGGCAGCATCTGGGGGAAAGGAGCAGTCAACATTTTGGGTATTACCCTTCTAGAACCTTCCTGTTTGTCTACTTGGATTCCAGCATCTGCAGTTTTTTTGACTCCCTAAGTCAGACTTACAGGTTTGATATAAAGTGGCAGTTTCTCTGGAGTTGAATCTCTGTAACAATAATGTTGGGCAACAGGATGAAACTATGTTATGGTGCAAATTTTAAGATCATTCTAACTGTGTTCTATATCTTCATAACTTATTCTTTATTTGTTTTCATCGTTTGTGTAATAAACTTCAGCTCTGCTGTTAAAGGTCAAAGAATCCCTACTGTGTGGAAACAGGCCATTTGGCCCAACAAGTCCACACTGGCTTTCTGAACAGCATCCAACACAGACCCATCCTCCCCTACCCTATCCCTGCAACCCTGCATTTCCCACGGCTAATCCATCTAATCTACACATCCCTAGACACTATGGGCAATTTAGCATGCATCTTTGGATTGTGGGAGGACACCAGAATGTCCAGAGGAAACCCATGCAGAGAACATGTGCAAACTCCACACAGTCACCCAAGGGTGGGATTGAGCCCAGGTCGCTGGTGCTGTGAGGCAGCAGTGCTGACCACTGAGCCACTGTGCCACTGTGCCACCCTGCATCCTCAAATGACTTATTTCACTAACTGACTGCACATTAACTAAACTAAGAAAAGCATCCATCAAGCTAGGCTTCAATCTGGCATCTGAATTGTCCGGTATTACGGTCAGTTGGGACCATGATATTCATATCAATAAATATAGTTAAAGATGTTAAAATGATGGAGCTAATAGATCTCACTCTGGTGGATAGATTTTCTGAGCAGGAAGTGATGGGTGACCCAACAGACATGAGTATAAAATACACAGTAATTTTGTCAGATGTGAGGAAGCATTGATTTTTTGAGAGAGTCATTGACCTGGGAAAGCTACTAAAATATGTGGGAGCACGTGCTATGTATATGGGTTTCTGAAGTCAACTGCAACTAGAGGACACTTTGAACACAGAAAATAGAAGACGATTTGATGATTTGATTTATTAGCGTCACATGTACAGTGAAAAGTATTGTTTTGCATCCTAACCAGACAAATCATAACTTTCATAAGTGTACCAGGGTAACAGAACAGAATGCAGAATATAGTGTTACAGCTGCACAGAAAGTGCAGAGAAAGATCAAATCTAATATGTGAAAGGTCCATTCATAAAGTCTGATAATAGCATGGAAGAAGCTGTCCTTAAATCCGTTAGTATGTGTTTTCAAACTTTTCTATCTTCTGCCCAATGGAAGAGGGTGGAAGAGAGTAGGACCAGGGTGGGAGGGTTTTTTGATTTTGTTGGATGCTTTCCCAAGGCAGCAAAAAGTGTAGATGGAGTCAGTGGAAGAAAGGCTGGTTTTCACGATGAACTGGACTGCATTCACAACTCTCTGTAATATCCTGCGGTCTTGGGCAGAGAAATTGCCATACCAAGCTGTGATGCACCCAAATAGGATGCTTTCTATGGCGCTTCTATAAAAATTGTCAAGTGTCATTGTAGAACATGCCGAATTTCCTTAGCCTTCTGAGGAAATACAGGCATTGCTGTGCTCTCTTGAGGGTGAGATTTCTAGAGTTTACTTCATTGCTGGGGAAGCCAAAGACAAGCTTTGCATTTTTGTAACTCAAGTTTGGGATTTTTACCTATTTATCTTTTTAATTAGATTTTTATCATGGAGAATGCGTAATTAGGGAAGAGAGATCTTTCAATCGTGTACATGGAGTACCTACCCCATCTGGATGAGTCGAGTCTGAAGCACTTGATGGGAATTTCTTGTCTTTTTTCATTTAAGGAGTGACTTTATGGAGGTTTATAAAATCCTGAGGAGCATGGATAAGGTGAACAGCAAAGGTCTGTTCCCTAGGATAGAGTGGGGGGAGGGAATTCAAAACTAGAGGGCATAATTTCAAGATGAAAGGAGAAAAGATTTAAAACAGACCTGAGGAGTAACTTTTTCACACAGAGGGAGGGTCATATGTGGAATGAACTGCCAGAGGAAGTGGTAGCTGCAGTTACAACTATAACATTTAAAAGACATTTGGACAGGCACATGAATAGGAAAGGTTTAGAGGGTTATGGTCCAAGCACAGGCAAATTGAACTAGTTTAGTTTGGGAAATTTGGTCGGCATGGGTGAGTTGGACCAAAGGGTCTGTTTCCATACTGTATGGCTCTATGAGTCTATGATAAGATGGAGAGCTATCGATATTGACTGGAAATATTAAAAATATTTTGCACACCAAGTAAGGAAATGCTGGTAAATAAATCTGCCTGGAACAGCAGCAGTAAGTCATAAGCCGCAATAGTGGATTCGTGGATAAGACTGATTTGCTCATTAGCTTCAGGTTTCTAGTGGTGGATTTCATGTTTGTGACACATTCCAACAATGTAGAAAATACAAAGTGAGATATATTAGCAAAGTAGGAGAAATTAAGGAGCCAGAATTAGACAAAGCCTCAACCAACCAGGTCAGCTATTTGAAAAATCCAGTTCAAATAGACCTCAACCCCATGGAAATACTTGCACAGGTTCATTTCCATCAATAACTGTGCTTCTAAAGACAATGCCATAATAGAAACAAAGTACATGGATAAACAAAATGAGAAAATGATGCTCTTCCTTACTAATCACAAGCTTTCCTCTTTCGTTACCGTGATGCCTGCTCATCATTATTTATTCACGTAAAAACAATGCAACCCAAATTTAGGTTTTCTAGATATTTCCCTCTCCACTTTTTTTTATTCTTTCACAGGACATGGATATCACCAGCTAGGACAGCATTTATTGCTCATTGCATTAAGTGCACCAGTTAAGTGTCAACCACATTGCTGTGGACTGGAGTCACGTGTAGGCAAGACTGGATAAGGATGGCAGTTTTCCTTCCCAAAAGCACATTAGTGACACATCCCGACAATGGCGTAAGAGTCATCTTTAGAAACTTAATTCCAGATTTATGTTTTTAAAAAGTTTAAACGCTACCATTTGACATGGCGGGGTTCCCAGAACATTACCTAGGGCTCTGGATTATTCGTCCAGATAATACCCACTAGGTCATCACCTACTCTGAAATGGATGAGTTACTTTGAAGTACGCAGCTAACAGTCACATGGTTAAACATGAACAATAGTGTCCACTCAGTGGACTGGTTTGCAATGCAGAATGATGCCAACAGTGTGGGTTCAATTCCCGCACCAGCTGAAGTTACCATGAAAGACTCTCCTTCTCAGCCTCTTCCTGCATGCTGAGATGTGGTAACCATCAGGTTATGCCATCAGCAATCATCCTTCTCTAATGAGAGCAGCCCTGTGGTCTGGTAGGGCTATGGTGACTTTAGTGTACAGTAGGTGGAACCAGCAGGAATGATGATAAATGCGTAATTTAAATTCCAAATGCTTTGAGTATTCTGTTAGCCCATTGAAACATCACCTTTGAAATATAAAAGATAGTAGGAACTGCAGATGATGGAAAATCTGAGATAACAAGGTGTAGAGCTGGATGAACACAGCAGACCAAGCAGCATCCTGCTCCTATGATGCTGCTTGGCCTGCTGTGTTCGTCCAGCTCTACACCTTGTTATCTTTGAAACATAATGTAACTGAGCCGCTTATGGGTTTGTTTGTGCACCTGTCAATCCCTATCCAAACTTTGAAATTTTGAGACGTGTTTACTGGGAAATGCTGGAGACCATTTCACAAGCAAATCAGCGCAGCCCGAACAAATAGAACTGTCACAAACCTCACCTGCTTTAGGGAATCTATAGTTGACTGGTCATCTTGCGAGAGCTTCAGGGCAGTTGTCACCTTTGTTGAATTTGCAACAATCTCGGCATTGAGGTCCTTGCATTTTGCCATCAGGCGTATCTCATTTTCATGGGATTTTTTGAGGGCGCGATGCAGCTTTTCATACTCAGTGCGAAACTTTTCAAGTCCCTTTTCTCCCATAAGTTCAGAAAGGACTTCTTCAAAGTCCCGTTCAAGCGCCTCAAAGGCATGGTCCTCCATGATTCCTTTATCTGATTTATCCTGCAAAAGATAATGAGGAGAAAGGGGGAGGGATAAATTAATCACAGGTACACACGTGCATTAAAAAGGGTCGAGAAGTGATCTGCCATTTTAGTCACTTCTCCAGTCAGCAGCAAATCTAAGTGTCTCTTGGAATGCATTTATAATCTTTGTTTCAAAAGTTTGCTTCAGAAATTGAATGCTCACAGGAAAAAAGTTCCATTGTACAATGTATGGATAACCTCTAGATCAACATTACAAATAAGCCAACTTATTAATGCCATCAAAAAATGTATGTATATTGCTTTGTTTTACTTTTGATTGCAGGTATTGAGTAAACAAATTTTAAAATATATGCTCATATCCCTTTTCCTAATTCACTTTTTTTGGCACTAGTAAATGAAGGACTGATGGCATGGACTGTTCTCACACCGTCACTTATGCCAACAACAACTTACATTGATATATCATCATTAATGATGTAAAAAGTCAAAAACACACTCAGAAGCATTATTGTGTCATCTACAGCCATGGATGAGGTGCCAGAAGACTGGACGGTGACTGATGTTGTGCCTTTATTTAAGAAAGGCTGCAAGGAGAAGCCTGGGAACTGTAGACCAATGAGTCTGACATCAGTGGTGGGTGGGTTGTTGGAAGGGATTCTGAGGGAAAGGATTTACATGCATTTGGAGAGGCAAGGGCTGATTTGGGATCGTCAGTATGGTTTCGTGTGTGGGAAATCATGTCTCACAAACTTGATTGAGTTTTTTGAGGATGTAGCTAAGAAAATAGATGAGGACAAAGCGGCAGACATTGTCTACATGGACGTTAATAAAGACTTTGACAAGGTTCTGCATGGTGGACTGGTTAGTAAAGTTAGATCACATAGGATTCAGAAAGAGCTTGCCAATTGGATACAAAATTGGCTTAACAGTAGGAGACAGAGGGTGATGGTGGAGGGCTGTTTTTCAAACTGAAGGAAACTGATCAGGGTGTTCTGCAGGAATAAGTGCTGGGTCCACTGTTCGTCATTTATTCAAAAGGGTTTGGATGAGAATAGAGGAAGCATGGTTAGTAAGTTTGTGGATGACACCAAAATTGGTGATATAGTGGACAGTGAAGAAGATTATCTAAGATTACAAAGGGGTCTTGATCAATTGGGCCAATAGGCCATGGAGTGACAGATGGAGTTTAATTTGGATAAACAAAAGGTGTTGCATTTTGGTAAGATGAACAAGAAAAGGACATACACAGTTAATGATAGGGCCATAGGAGTGTTGTCGAACAGAGAGACGTAGGAGCTCAGATACATAGTTCATTGGAAGTTGTGTCCAACTTGCTTCCAAGCGGAGTAGAACAACATCGCTTCATAGGAGGCTTCACTGATGATGTCACCTAGCATGGTCATGAAACGTCTGAACGAGAACAAGCCAGCTCGGTGAGCAAGTCAACAACCTCACCCACAACCCGAGCTACAAATCTTTGCAAAAACCTTAACGAACTAATTTAATTTGGGAAACTTGGTCGGCATGGACAAGTTGGACTGAAGGGTCTGTTTCCATGCTGTATGACTCTATGAATCTATAAATACAATTTGACACAAACACGCAAAAGAGGATCTTAGATGTAAAATCAGAAAATGCTGGAAATATTGGGCAGCACTTGCAGAGGAAGAGGAAAATAGGGTGAAATCTTCTGAGAGCCGGACCAGTGTGGGCTATGGCAAGACTGGGGACAAAATCAGGCAAGAAGTGAAACATGACCCATTCCAACATCAGGAGCACCTCATTGTATCTTTTATGCATTTGCTGAGCTGTGAGGCAAGTTTCAATTGAGACAGCAGCAAGTTGCCAGTTTAGAGAATAACTGTTTGTTAAACACTTTATCAACAGCACAACTCACCTCATAAATATTCAGCTTTGCACCTTACCAAATGCGCCGAACAAGTTAAAAGTCAAGAGTATCAGTGTGGGTACGTGGCGAGTTCAGCTTGCCATTCTCACCAAAGGACTTCCACAAGATTCAAAGTCTCAGGGCACTGGTCATATGCAACCTATGTTCACAGACATTGGAATGTAACATGTGCCAGCATCTAAGAACCCTCATGAGTTCAGATGAAGGGTCACTGGACTCAAAATTTTAACTCTGCTTTCTCCCCACAAATGCTGCCAGACCTGCTGAGATTCTGAAGCAATTTCTGTTTTTGCTTCAGATCTCCACCATCTGCACTTCTTTGCTTTATCTCTGGGCCCTATGTTTACTTTCTTAGTGCTCATTCACTTTGAGCCTGCACGAGCTCACAGCATCCCTGCCTTGTTTTACCCTCTCAGCCAGAGATACCAGGCTCCTGTTCCTTCTGTCTTGCTTTGCCATGTAGCACAGACACAAAGCCAGGAAGCTTGGTGTGGTTGTCAGTCAAGGGAGATAGACCTTGTTCAGCAGGACAGTAAGTCAAGGGCAGTATCTAATACCAGTCCAGCGACTTGGACTTGGTCAGGCAGGTATTTAGCACATTCAGAATCAGGATGTTCTCCACCTAAGGGGTAAAGAACTAAATGTCAGGCAGCCAGCCATCCATCTTGAGTCTTCTGCCCTACTGGGGACTGTTTTCCTCCTGGAAAAAGAGACAGGCAGGTATTACAGGAGATGAAAGTGGGTGGAAAAGTTTTTAGTTTTGGTGTAGATGGGGAAGCGTCCTGAGCTAGTGAGTGGATGGCGTATAGGGCGTGCAGGGTTAGAGGTGTCAGGTGTTGGAGTGGATGACAGTGAGTGAGGGAAGATTTTGCAAGCAATAGCGTGAGTGGAAGAGCATGAGCCTTGGTGGGAGGTGGGTGCAATAGCAGAGATAGAGTGAGTGGGAGTTATCAAAGGCAAGATGTTGGTATTTATGCTGATGGAGTGGAGTAGATCATTGATCTTTTTCATACAGTGCTGTGCTTTCCTCCCCAGACAGCTGCAACTGCACTGACATGAGTGGCATTCTCAGACCAGGCTGACATGGTCCGGTGCCGTGGTCTCCATGTCTGGTCCTGAGGGATGAGGACATCCTGGTTTTACACCAGCCCATTCAGTAGGTTCCCCAGGTCTCTGTCTGTAAAGCGAGGCACCAATTTCCCTCTGTCTGCCACATCCAGGGCAAATGCCAGGAACCGTGCAGGGCAGCTCCAAACTGACAGTATTTGTCCATATGTACAATGGACTTTTAAAGATGGCACAGGGAAAAGGATGCTGGTCTTTCAGTAAATACTTTCTGAGTGGGTTAAAGTGGTTCCAGGAACAGCACATGGTAAGACAGGGACAGAATAGGACAGGAAGAATGCAATGAGAGTGAAATAGGTCATTGATAAGGTGAGTATGGTAAGACACAGCAAGAAATCTGGTTGTTAGGAAAGATGAACAAAAGACTTTTTTTATATGAAAGAGGCCTGAATTGCGGAAGGACAGAGATCTTGAAGAGTTGTAAGGCTGGTGGCGAGATCAAAAAAGGCTTTAAAAACAAGAATGGAAGTTTTAAAATTGAGAACTTACTGGTCTGGGAACCAGTGTAGGTTAATGGGCACTGGGGTGATAGGTGAATGGGACTTGACACAAGTTAGGCTATGAGAAGGGGGAGAATGGGAGCCTCACCAGGAGAGCATTGGAATGGTCAAATTTACAAGCAACAAAGAACAACCATGTCATCATGAGGGTTTAAGCAAAAGATGTTCCAAAACAGTATTGAAGATTGACAGCCTTTTTTAACCAACTGGGTGGGGGATAAGCTTGGTGACTACTGTCTTTCATTCCTGCTTGATGCAACTCAACAGTTCAAAATAGAAAGTTAGCAGAATGTGATTTAAAATTATCCATAACAGTAATTGTTCTAACATTTTGTCACCTCATAGCAAAAACTTCATGGTTAACAAGTGGTTGAAATTAGCGGCAATGCAATTCATACTCACAGGACATGGCAGGATAATGTATTTGGTGTTTATTATATTGTAATATTGTATTTTCATAAAGCACAGATTCAATGTGAAAATATTTAAAGACTTTGTGTAACAAAATAGCCTTGGTAACAATAAAAAAAAATCAATTTATATATAATTTTGAAAAACTAGGAGATAGCATGTTCCACATTTATTGGAAGAGGACAATAATTGTCATAAAACTTATTTACAGAAACGCTTAAAAGGAACATAATGCTCACTTTTTATGAAGGCATATATGCCCCAGGGGAATGTTTGGTTTTCTGACTTTTTTCCCCTTTTTCAGCTGAAGGTTTTATTCTAGTTTATTGTTCCATCCTGCACTTTGGCCAAGTTGTCACTCATCTTCCACAAGACAGACAACCTGTTTTATCAGGCTAGTTAACTATGGCCATCACAGCTGGCCAACAAGTACCAGGTTTTTGATTTGATGTTCGCAATGAAACATGCTGGGATTGCTCACCTTCGACAGGCTTTTCATGTAAATTGATAACTCATTGGAAACACAGCTGATTTAGTGGTGATGGATAAAGGCTAAAAATAATACAGGTGATTTGGTGGCAGAAAAAAAGCACTTCTGCAATATAAAAGAGAAAATGAACATGCAGGCACTGATAATCCAACACTGTAACAGCAGTTGTAAATAGTGTGGAGCTGGAGGAACACAGCAAGCCAGGAAGCATCAGAGGAGCAGGATGCTGCCTGGCCTGACGTGTTCCTCCAGCTCCACACTGTGTTATCTACGACTCCAGCATCGGCAGTTCTCACTATCTCCAACTGCTGAGAATGGTAGCGCTTTCTTCCCTGCTCTCAATGACACAATACCCCATAGCGGGCAATGCATTTATCAACTCAATGTTCAAGGAAGCTTATTCACAAGATATTGTAAATTAGGTGGCTCATTCATAAACTGGTATTTGGAAAACTTGATTTTACTTCAAGATTTACAAGAACTATGTGGCATCACAATAGGATCGCATGCAAGTGCTGTTATGATGCACAAGAACACCATTTATGTCATTGCAACGTTCTTCGCAGTCTGGGTGGGATGTTCTG